CCTTCATTTTGTGTGTGCATGCGTGGGTTTCTGGCTGAAGGAGCAGGCTGAGATAACCTCTTTAAAGTCATTGTTATTTTCTTTGTTTCCTTTCTCTTTTTGTCTTTCATCTCCATCTTTTTGTCTAGTTCCTTACCATTCATATACACAATATAAGATTTGAATTCTTGCTCAATCAGCATTCTCATTCTGAGAGGATTTTAACTTAGCACATGCACCACTTCATGCAGTTAAACTACAGAACTTTACCTGTTCCAAGTAATTCAGTCCTAGAGAATATTAAGAGAGCCCCATATAAATTTGATTAAATAAGTAAACAAGGATAGTGGCAGCATTATATAATAGGACCTCCACAGAAGAATGGGAGAGTGCAGTAGGAATTTAGGGGGAAAGGCTGAGGAACCTCACTTGAGGCAATTGAGGAACCAATTCACCACATCCCAGGTATGCATCTCATTACACATGCCAGTAAATAGGAGCAGCAGAGAGTCATGGAGCTGGATAGGACATTGGTCAGAGTTTGTGCCAATAGAAAAGCTGGCCAAGTCCTATGAAGTGTCTCAAATTGCAAAATAGAAGTTTTGTTATTAGATATTCTGGGCAGCCACGTAGGAAGAAAAATGGGCAGGACAAAGAGTGCAGCAGTATTGCAAGAACAGTGCCAAAGCAGCTTGTGGAAGAGCCCTCAGCTAGGAAATGTAATTTGGAACTTTTATTATACATTACCCTTTCCCAAACTATCACTCTCCAGAGATACTGAGACTGAATTTCCAACCAGCATGTTCAATAGAATTTATTCCATATGATGGAATAACAGTTGTATTGGATGACTTCAGAAGAGGACTAGGCAAATGAATGAAACCTACCTAGAACGTTCAGAGGCACTGCAAGAAACACAACCAGAGGTGTGGTGGTGCCTGCAAACTGTCTTTGGACTTTCTAGAAAAGCATTTGATTAACAACTGGGGAGACAAGAAGCGGGATTAGCAGACTAGGATAGATCCATTCAATTTAACTGCTCCTTCTTGGGGACAGAATTCCCATCCAGCAAATCTTCTGACCTTTAATTTAAATTCTGTAGGAATATTCATCAGATTGGATGTGGGGATGAATGGAGATTGTACTCTGTAATGTTTTCAAGCTGGCTGAGATGTCCCTTCTATTGTTTAAAAAAGGGCTTTACAAAGCCCAACAAGCTTAGTAGTGTCAAATTTTTGAAGAGCAGAGACAATACTTGTAGGATTGACCCTGACCAGACAATATTGTGGTCATAGAGCCATGCCAACAGTGTCAGGGAGGAAACATTCTGCCCCAGACCCAGCACTGCTTTCAGTATAAGGGCTTCTGTGTATTTATTTTATGAAAATCAAGAGAGGCTTTTCACCATTTTAGGAACTTTGTAACATGAGGACAACTTCTGCCTGCACCTGCCATAGATTTATTCCTGACAAGGACAAACATTAGCCAGCATTCATCTCGCTATGGAGCATCTGTGAATGTGCTGGAACAAAACTCCCAAATTTGCTTCTGGTGTTTAGAATTGTTTTTAATCTCTAGGCAGAAAATGGGATCTATGTGGCTGTTTGATCTAATCCCACAGAGCCCTTTTTATGTTTTCAAGATGTCGTATAATTTAATTCAAATGGCAATTATATCAAGGGTACGAATGAAGCCAAAGTGTCAAATGTTGTGTAACTCACTCCAGAGAGAGAAATGATATGTTTGGTAGATTCCAAAGGTTTTGTGGACCCAACAGCAATAAATTAACACTTTTTTTTTTTGCCATGTTAAGCTGAAATGAGAAGTATACTTGAAAAGTAGAAAAAAAGTCCCATCAAGGAGAACTTGAGCAAGTTAACTTCAGCATAGTAAAGCCAATAATCATAATGGGAAGCTGTGTAGATACTCTTTTGTGTGGCTATATATTTTCAAAGTAAGAAAATGTTCTTTATTTGAAATAAACGTACCTTGGGCACAATTGAAAAATAGCTTTTCAAGCTTCAGGTATCATAGAAGATGAAAGAGCATATACTCCCAGAATTATTATAGTACCATTTTAGAATATTGGCATAAAGGTGGCCTTTTTAAAGGAATTCTACTTTGAACATTACTTGTAAGGCTACCTGTCCCAAAGACTTTGTGGTATGTGAGTTACTCATGTGGTTTCATTCCTTCAAATGCTGCAGAAAGAACAGGACCAAAAGAAACACAGTATCTTGGTTCACACAACACTCAACACTATAAGGTGGTTTGTTTAGTTTTGATTTATAGAATTATGTGAATCCAGCTATTGTGGTTTGTATATCATGATTTATGGCTTAGTTGTGTCAACCTAATCAGCTGCAGTTTACATATTAAATCATACTGAAACAAACCATGGTTTCAAGCAATGTATAAACAGAGACTTTGACAATAGGGCTAGTGTTGCCAGCATTTCTCAACCTTGGCAACTTTAAAATGTTTGGATTTCAACTCGCAGAATTCCCCAGCCAGACTTCAACTCTCAGAATTCCCTAGCATATTGGCTGGGGAATCCTGGGAGTTGAAGTTCACACATCTTAAAATTGAGAAACACTGGGCTAGAATATCACATATTTATATGCCCATTGCTGATGGGCAACTTGGTTTTTACTTTTTCCTTGAAATTGCTCAGGACTTTTCTTTCTCTGTACTGTATTTCTTTTTCTCACCATGACCATATATAACATTTCTAAAATAGCATAAATAAATAAAAGAGAACCCTGGCCTTGACACTAGGGAATTTCAAATTTACGCATGAAACAACTTAATGCAACATATATTTCTTTTGGTTATTGCAATTATTTCATGCCCCATCATCACCACCACATGTTATATTTCTTCATCTCCACTGTTGGGAGCAGAAGATGTATGTGGTAGAAAAACTCAGGGGATATTATCACAACATAGGGTGAGTTATCCATCACGCCATGAGAGGTAGAAGGGGGGAAACGACATGAATCCTCCTTTGATGGTAACCCAGGTTGTGTGTAATTTTGCCACGTGTTATGAAAACGAGGGAAAGACATCCTCCCTGTGTCTTTTGAAGCTTCCTGGATACATCTGGTCAGCAACTATATGGTTCTGAACACTGGATCAGATAGGGCTTTCATCTGCTCTACCAGAGTTATTCTGATGTTAGTAGAGAGAAATAGGAGAGTAAACAAGGAAGAAGGAGTTATTTGCTTCTACTTTTGCTGTTCACTTTCACACCGTGAGCAAAACTTTATGAGGCCAAGAAATAATTAATTAAGACTGCAATCTCAGTGCAGTGCTGTGTTAGTGTTGGCAGGACATTTTCCCGCAACTGTTGGCAGAAATCTTGAGATCTTAAAATCTATGTTATGTCAACTTTATTCTTTTTTTCAGGAATCTTCTTTTCCTTTAGAGTTACAACAACAAATAATTAAACAACGTTCTTCTAATCTTGGTATTGGAATCCTTTTACTATAGAGATACATGTTTCCATGTGAGTGTCTGTAATATACAGAATTATAGAAGTGTGAAAAAGAATAGGTAGATTAAGCACAAAAACAGACTTTCCTTTTCCTCTTATCTGCTAAAAGTAAACACTTCTTCACTAGCTTGATGCCCTCTAGTATGTTGGAATCGCTGCAGCTCTCAGAATTCTCAGGCAGTATGTTGAAGAGCTATGTTGGTTGGGAATCCTGCAAGTGGTTAGCCAAACACATCTGGAGGCCATCAGAAGTGGAGAGTTGATCTGGTATAATTTCTGAAACAGGAGTATGATCCATTGTCAGCAAAGGAGGGGACTCCCACGATGGACCTCTTTCCTATCACCTCTTGAACTCTTGAGTGCACTGCTTTGCTCTTCCCCCCTTCTTTTTTCATCTTGGGATTGTGTGTGGATGAACAATGTTTGAGGGACCAAGACTGAAACTAAGCCTCCCAGCCTTCTCAAGAATCAAAGGAAGACCCCTGGTGATGTTGCAACAGGACCAAAAGGGGCATGGCCAAGATCGTTTAGCTTACTTTTGGGCCTTTGGAGGTATTTAAGGGGGAGAATCGGAATAGGAGGTTTTCCAGAGACCAACTGCTCCCATTCCCATTGTTACAACAACCACTGAAAGCTGAAATAGTCCAAAATTGCATTACCAACATTCTTTCCATTTTGTTGCTAAAATTTGGTAGCATGAAGTTGGGATGCTCTCTGCTTTCTGGAACAATCCCCCCCCCCCAGATATGACACCCCCAAACTCTTCTTGTCCACAGAAAAGCCCTTAAGACCTGGCTCTTCCCCAGGCATTAGGGGTCAGTTAAGTGGGTGTCCCCCCTGTGGTTGTTTTGTTGTGTGTTTGGTCACCATTTTACATTTTGTATTTATATATCATTTGTTTGTTGCTAGACGGTTTTCTTTGTTTTTTTCTTTCTTTTGATTTATTGTGTGTTTATGTTGTATGCCACCCAGAGTATCACACTATCTGAGTTG